CATCGAGTGTGATTAATGATTTTTTTTTTTATTAATTGTTTAAGGCATGAACTGCTAGGTTATTAGCCGGCGTTACATGTTTACATTTACATTAATTTCTTACATACTATCTTAATTTCTACTAGTTATCTATATATTTACAAATTTATTTTAACTATATTACAAATATTTAAATCAGTTGACGCAGTTCGGTTGAGTTGACGAAATCGATGAGTGTTTGGTCGTCTCAGGAGTGGGTGCTAGCATACAGTACTGTATACTATAGCATCTCGTATAGTGTCTCAGGAAGTTTTAGCTCAATGCGCCTTTCAATGAACTTTCGACATTCGGTAAGTATATGTTTGACTGTGATGATTATTCCGCACGTCGGGCATGATGGAGGGACTTCTTTGGGCATGAGATATCCGTGATTAATGATTATAATATACATAAAAGGTATATGCGTATATACACATTATACACCTAACCTGTAAAGTCGTTTTCGATAATATATTTTAAAAAACTCCATGGCAAGGGACGGACAGTGAATCACCGTCGGTGATCATAAATATTCGGGTTTTTATATTTTAATACCTACCTTGGTCCTTAGGTACTCGATTCGTCTTGTTCGAATGTCTTTATACGACGATATCGAATATGATTAATAATACTTTATAATATACTGCAGCAGAATACGTGACTTTATCGTATATATTATTATATTGTTTACGATGGTTCTATAAAACAAATAAATGCAATATACCTATTTACTGTTTCAGCAACTTTAAAAGATATATGATAGTTATATGGTACTATAAATAATATAGGCTAATAATATTACAACTTATATGTAATTATGTAATAATATTTTAATGACAGTGAGAAGTAATTAATAATGTGCAATAGTTTAACGAATAACACGTTTTTAAAACCAAAAGGTTTGTAAAGATATTTATTTCGTTTGTAAAGAATTCGTTTTGCTACAAAATAAAGGAAACCGACGAGGGCTTGGGAAATGCCCCAAATATTTTGAACATCGAATTTTTGTTCATCATGTATGTTTGTAAAGATATTTTAGACTCTGAGCGGAGCGATTATTGTATTGATTTTACAATGATAATATAATGTGTCTTTTAAAAAAAAAATTTTTTTGTCACCGTCCTCACATTTTTATGTTTATTAAAAACATTTTAAATATAGTTTTTTTTTATAACTAGGTTCTACTTTAATATTAAAAATAAAATTATATTAATTTCATAATAATTGTAGATTAGGCCCCACTTATACTGATTACTGATCATCGAATATGGTTACTTATGTATTATCTACAGAAGTTGTATACTTTTTTTATCCATTAATATTACCTGAATAAATTAAAATTTATCAAATGTTAATTTAACACATACCTATAATACTGGTTTGGTACTAATTTAATACGAATGATAAAAACATTTTTAATGTAATTAAATTATTTATTGTATAATATAAACATTCACATTTGATTATTGTGCCATTTTTCAGTGGTTTAGTTTTTATTTTCAACAGAGCTGGGTTTGATTAAAAGGTTTTAAGAACACTTTCACAGGCAGTAGACGTCTGGGGGCATTCTTATGCCCGTAAACTATAAAAAGAAAATTTTAAAACTTGTTGACCCTCGGTTGATTATGAATTTTGCAGGGAAATTAATACGTCAAGATGACACTTGACGACAGAATGGCATTTTTGCATAAAGTGTAATTAAAATATAATTACTTATTTTTAGTCTTCCAATTTTAAAGATTATTAAACCATTATAATTTATTAATAATATGATTATAATATTACTATGTTTAAATTAATTTTGAAATTTGTGATGCATGAACATTGAATAACGGTATTTCAAACTTAATATAAATACGTTTTAATTATATAGATTTAAAGGTCAAGTTTTGTAATTTTTAATTTTAGAGTTTGCGCAGAGTGATGAATGTATTGATTTTACAATACGATGTTTGTTCGTATATATATATATTTGTGTTTGTTATCACGATTTCGGGAAAGTGCTTCGATTTTTTTCAACATCAAATTTTTTGGCAGGACAGTGAATCTAGTTAATGCATTCGGGAGGTCAAAATTTAAAATTCCTCATAGTTTTCAAAAGCAACAGAAAAATAAACAAAAAATTAAGGGAAAATGGTAATTTTTACGTAAAACCAGTTTTGCGAAAAAATCGATTTTGGTTTTTTGTGTAGGTAACTCTAACAAAAATGACAGTAGATACATTAAATTTTCACTGAATATTTGTATTAGTATTTTCTATACACCATAAAATTCAAAATATTTAGACTTGTGTTGAACTATTTATTATTATTTATTTATTTATAGGTATATTAAATATTCGATTATTATTTGATTTTTTTTTTAAGATTAAGTCAATAAAAAAATGTTTGTTCGGTCAAAAAACTTTTAAATGTAAAACAAGGTAAGTTGTTGATGGAAATTCAAAAAAAGTTGATCATAAATCCATAATAATTTTTTATTATCGTTTTTAACTTAGAATTTTGATAATATTCGTAAAAATCACGAAAATTAGCAAATTATATTTAGTTAGAAATTCATAAATATTTTTCTTTTTATGTCTAACATTTAAAAATCTAAGACAAGATACCTTATAAGTCTGCCCACTTCTATCAAAAAAAAAAATTTCTCCCTGGAAGTCAAATTAAATGCGTTTGAAGTTGAAATTTTTACAACATTGGATATTCATTCGATTTCTCTTGCAATTATTTTCTTATTTTGTTGTAACTTAAAAACGAAATACTGTACACACTTGACATTTACACCATGTATTTCTTTAATTCATATAATTGATAAAATGTTAAAAATATTTTGATTCGTATAAAGCTGTTGATGGACATTTTTCAATTTTATTTTTTTTTTCTATAAATATCAATACAATTTTATTGGTTGGGTCAAAAAGCATGAAAAGTTAACCCAAGACTCATATTGACAATATTGTTAGAATAGCAGTTGATAAATATTAAACTTATATTTGCATGATTTTTTTTTTTTTGATTATCACTTAAAGTTCAAATTTTGACAATATTTATTAAATTGAAAATTATTTCGTAGTTAAAAACGAATAAGACTTTCAAATTTTATAGCTAAGGATTGAAAATTTAAAGCACGCTTTCTCTTAAGCAGTTTAACTAAAAAATCTAATAAAAACAAATTACATGAGAAATCAAGTGAATATCCAATTTCGCAAAAATATCAATTTCTGCAAACACTCATATCAAAACTTAATTTGAATATCTGGTTGAAATTTTTTTTATGAATCTCTAACTTAAAATAATTTGCAAATTTTATGGATTTTCATGATTCTTACGAATTTTATTAGAATTCATTCAGACATTCATACAAACAAATTATGGTAATACGCTTAACATTTTTTTTAAATTTCCATCCACCTAACAACAACTTATGATTAAACTTGAATTACATTTTTAGGTTTTTTGACCGAGCAAAATAGTTTTTATCGACATTAAATAAAAAAAAACTAATACAAATAGAAAATTGGATATGCTTATACATAGTTTAACATGAATCAAAATATTTTGAAAATGTTTAGGTATATAATAGAAAATGATAATATAAACATTCAGTGAAAGTTGCATGTATCTAGGGTTATAACCCGGTTTTGCTTAAAAATCCCTGTTTTTCCTTAATTGTTCGTTTGTTCTTACTGCATTTTTTGAAAACAATCAAACTCCAAAAGGTGACGACAAACAAAAAAAAAAATTTTAAAAAATTTAAAAAAAAACACACATCATTGTGAAATCAATACATTGTTCGATTTGCCCAGAACCTAAAATATCTTTATAAATGACTTACAAACGTATGTGATAAATACAAATTGAAGCTGTCAGTTGTGTCTTGACACCTTATGTTCTGACAGAGCTAGTAATTTATCTAATGATAGTATATAAAATAAGACTTTTTTATTCTTCACATCTTTTCCTTTTAAGTAATAAATATTAATTTATTGAGAAAAGCTTTACATGAAATACAATTAATTAATTGTAATCACGTAATGTAATTGATAATCACAAATGGAAGTGTCAGGAAAAAATTGGAAACAAAAAAACAAAAAAAATTGCAACTACAGGTGAATATAAAAATAATAAATTTAAATATTACATATTATAATATTATACATAGTTAATTTCATTATAATCGCATCCTTCTTTCCTTCTCAGAAAACTTGTTTAAAATTTGTTCATTATCAATTTGGTTAGATAACTCTCTTTCTATGTTTATAATACTTAAATCGGTAAACCTATCTTGTTCCATGTTGGACCTTAGATAAGTATTTATTCTTCTCATAGAGGAAAAAGATCTCTCACACGTTTTCGAGCTTATAGGTATAGCTAATGCGTTAGTAATTACGTCATCACTTATCGGTGATATTTATAATTATATTCATAGCTATTACCATTGGTTATAATTTATATAATTAATATTATAAAAATATATTTTAAATTATATAATGTTCATTATTATAAAGATAACCTAAATGGCTAAATATTTTAGGGAGGGCTTAAGATGACTCAGGGAGGGCTAAGCCTTCCTAAGCCCCCCCCCTATTTACGTCCATGGTTGTACCGTATCCGTAATCTGATAGAACGTTGGCAACGTATACCCCCCTTTGTTACGAAATTTTAAAAACGGATACAACGCAATGACCAATGTGCATATTGTATTATTGTTATTATGTGGACTGAGATAATATTGATAAGATTTATTTAAATGAAAAAATATGCCACATTCACCCGTTTTTGCTAATGCATGCGGTATCGTACCCATGTTGTGGTAGGAGTGATCACCGAGAGGTAGCGCTGCGCTCACGAATATCAGCTGGATAGCGCGTCGCGAGCGCTGCTCCGCTGTTATGGGCAACAAGTGATTACCAAACAATGTGATAACCATTTACCGGCCGCCTGGCACAACATTAGTATACGTTCACGGTGTCTCCAGCATAGTACCTTGTTTGTCGTGTGTCCTCGTCTATAAGGAGTAAAGATCGAGGAACTCAATTGTTGTTTCATTTGTCGTGGAGTGTGGAGTGTGAACGCACAGCAAAGGTTTGCAGTTGCTCGCTGCAGATCAAAGGGATTTTTGTCCGCGTCGTCGCCTTCATCACGATCGATAAATTACTGGTAATTATGCTAAACGCTTGTCTGTGATTGTTATTAATTAATATTATTCTTATTTCAACTATCGTTTTGACTTTGATCGGTTTTTATTCTCAATTATTTTTTCTTTTCTTAAATACATCTTTGTATCTGTATTACATTATAATGGAATGAACTAGTTTCAATATTTTGTTGTTAAATTAAAACTGATATTTTCAAATTAAATAATTCCATAGCATATTTCAATTAATAAAATTTTGTTTATTTGCTTGATGAACGACGAGACACGTCGGTATTGATAATTGTCGATATTGAGCATAATAATATTATTATCATAGACTTTATGAAAATATACTTAATTTAAAAATTATTATTAAATAAAACCCGTTTGCAGAAATAACTATTGAGATTTTATTTATATTACAGAGAATCGACTTAATATTTTGACAGTAAGTTATTTACTTAATTAAAATATAGTCTACATTTTAAAGATACAATATGTGTAACAATATTATATTTTACAATTTATTTTGAAGATTCACTTTTTATGTATTTTAAATTATACTTTTTCATGTAATCTGTGAAGTTATTGAAAAACATATAATAAAGTACAACAACGATTACATGTAGGTAAAACCATTAATCATGTAATACCGATTATAGAAATAAGTAAGCACACATAGTCTGTATAAAAAATATATATAACTATTGTCGCTATGTATAGGTTTTTCTTAGGCAGAAAATACAAATAGCCAGATAGATCACATACTAAACCCTAATGTATTTTTTTTTAAGGTTCAATATTCTGTGGAATATCCGTATTTGATGATCACAGATGATAAAGTGAAACGAAACTTAAAGGTTGTAAATTGTAATTTATACACCATAAAAATTGAATACCAGACTGCTTAGTATTATTAATAATTAATTTATGTTCTATTACATCAAAATGAAAAACTAGTGTTGATGTGGAATGTATTATTGTTAAAAAGAATTAGTCCAAGCAGCAATTCCAAAAATTCAAGATTGTGGTCAATATACTATTGGTTTGTATTTTCATATAATTATATTTATTTTATTAGATTTTTTTATTTATTTAAGTATTTTATTTTCCAGGATTTAATGATGGAGGTATAACATTTCTTACGACAACAATATTTTGTTTGAAAAGTGTAAGACGTTTTTCTGCTACTGTTACTTTTGATCAACTTCCTCCAAAACATACTAAACTCACAATTAAACTCCCCTTAGTGCCCTTCATATTTACGCTTATATTACAATAAATCAATTATTATTATTATAGTACTTTTTGGCCATTATATTTCATTGCCACCTAGGCTGATATACTCTCAGTCTGCCCCTGTTTTAATCATAATTAGAGTTAGGATTTTGATGACCTACAAAACACACAAAAATGCCCTAAAAAGTGCAACAATTTACCTTAAAAATGATCTAAAAAACTAATTAATTCAGTGAAAATATTTATTTATAAATAATAATTTTTATTAGAGATACGGGTGTGATAATCTTGTGGTAATCTTGTTTATCGGATTTATTCCATACGATTTATAAACATAATACTCAATAAACGTAACATTCTATAAGCTTGAATGATCGGTGTATGCCTGAAAGAGCACTTGTTTGTCAATATATAACACTCAAAGTCTCAAACTGTAAATCAAAATCCAAAGTTAAATTTTAAATAAATTAAATTTGTTTCCAAACTTGAGTTTAACGATTGCTTTAATCTAAAATTTGAGAAAAATGCCCCATATTGAACAAACACTACAAAAATGACCTCGAAGAAGAAAAATGCATTTATAGGTAAAAATGGCTAAAAATGTAAAAAAATTCAAAATCAAATTAAAATATTCTGCATCAAGGGAGCATGAAACAATTTTTTAGCTAGGATAGCATTCTATAGAATCAAAGGAAAAAAATGTAAAAGTCATCAACATCCTAACTCTAATCATAATATTACCTTAATACTTAAATATGTAAATTAATGTAATACCTTTGTTACAATTTGTATTATTGAAAATAATCAAATTACTTATATACTATACATTTTAGGTTATTGGTGTGCGTGAATACGAAGGATAAATTTTACGTTCATTATAAATTATGGAATTCACGTTGTGATAAATGGATAAATGAAACACGTGTTGCTAGGAAAACTAAGGATCCGGAACTAGAAAATTCTTCAAAAAGTGGTCCTCCAGATGTAAGCATATTAATTAATTATTCAATAGAAAATAGGTGATGTAAAATAATTTTACTCAATTAAAATTTTAGATTAATTTTTATATTAAAAAGTTTTATAGATATAATTTTATTTTAAAACTACATTTTAGTAACTATGGTTTATGATTAATATTATGATTAAAGACTGGATTTATATGTTTTTAGATATTGTTACTGAGTGTATGCGTGTCCTATAAAGATAATAAATTTGGACTATTCTGAGTTTAAAGGAAAAAGTTTTATTTTGCATATTTTGGAATATTTTGTATATTGTGAGAAAAAGATATTAATATATTATTAATTTTAATATTACAGTACCCAGAAATTTTTTTTAACATTTACAATTTTTTTTGTATCATTGTGATTTGTGACAAAAAAAAAAAACACGCAGTGTTTTTCATACTCATAAGCTCAACATGTATATATTTATCACATTACAAATGTCCAAATATTTTGTTTAACACAATATATTTTGTTAAGTTTTTAAAATGAACAAAATAAAACACCAGATCATTTTAATAATGCAAGTGGCGACATATACCTCACTAATTAATTGAAGGAATTTTGAATAAATAAATAAATAGCATATTAAAGCATATATTAACATCCATTGATTATTATTCCATATTTTTGAAATTTCTATGAAAATATATGAGAATATTTAATGGTTTTTTAGAAAATATTAGCATCATTTTTTAGGAGTTTTAAGAGAAAATAAATCTGGTCTTTAATTATAATGTATTATGTTTTGGTTACTGGTTAGTGCTAGTTATTTAAAATTATGTATTCTGAATGTTATGGATCATGGATTGGTAGCATTTATAATTGCACTGTATTTTGGTCAATAATAATATGGATGTTGAAACTTATAAAATATTACTTATTTATTTAATTATCTTTATTTAAAATATTTTGTGTTATATAATTTAATGAAAATAATTTTTTATTTATGTTAACCATTTTCTTATGTATTTTAAATTGTGTACCCAACTACCCTATTTAAATAATCTAAATCAATGTAATTCAAATAAAGCATTCATTTAAAATTCTATATAAATTCTGTCATAGACCAATACTTTTTATTATTTTTTATAATTTTCAGATCATTTGTTTGTTATTACATAAATAAACATTTTACTTATTTTTTTAATTTTAAAAATATTTCTAGTATAGGTACATGATTAATTATAAAAAATAATAAAAAGTATTGGTCTATGACAGAATTTATATAGAATTTTAAATGAATGCTTTATTTGAATTACATTGATTTAGATTATTTAAATAGGGTAGTTGGGTACACAATTTAAAATACATAAGAAAATGGTTAACATAAATAAAAAATTATTTTCATTAAATTATATAACACAAAATATTTTAAATAAAGATAATTAAATAAATAAGTAATATTTTATAAGTTTCAACATCCATATTATTATTGACCAAAATACAGTGCAATTATAAATGCTACTAATCCATGATCCATAACATTCAGAATACATAATTTTAAATAACTAGCACTAACCAGTAACCAAAACATAATACATCATAATTAAAGACCAGATTTATTTTCTCTTAAAACTCCCAAAAATGATGCTAATATTTTCTAAAAAACCATTAAATATTCTCATATATTTTCATAGAAATTTCAAAAATATGGAATAATAATCAATGGATGTCAATATATGCTTTAATATGCTATTTATTTATTTATTCAAAATTCCTTTAATTAATTAGTGAGGTATATGTCGCCACTTGCATTATTAAAATGATCTGGTGTTTTATTTTGTTCATTTTAAAAACTTAACAAAATATATTGTGTTAAACAAAATATTTGGACATATTTGTTTATACACATTATTTACATTGACAATCCATAATCATGATAGATTAATTATTCACAAATGTTAAAAAATACAATAATAATGTTTTTTTTATACAGTAGTATGTAAATAATATTATAAATAGTTTACTTAACTTTTCACAGATACACTATTAACGCTCTGCGATCTGCGTATGCTACATAAACTAAAATAATTTCAAATAATATTAATTAAATATATTAAAATTATATAGTCCAAGGTTTTCTAAAATTGTAGGGTTATTGACAAATGATAATATTTTAAAATACATTGATGTAATAACATCTGGAGCAGTGAAGGGGTTAAATGTATTCAATTATATATATTTTTTTTTAATGGATAAAAAATGTTCAAAAACATTATTACTTTATCAGTGTATCCATATAAGAGTGGTATATTAAGTTAGAGTTTTAATATTTCTAGTACATTTTTAAGAAACTGCTTTTTTTAAATATTAATTCATAGTTTTTAGAATTGGTATTGGGTTTGTTTAAACTTAATATTATATTATTATTTATACTAGTAAGCTAGGATAAATCCTACCACTAACTAACAATCTAATATTTTTTCAGCAAAAAAAGGTACCAACATAGCTAGTCGAATTGAAGGTCAGTTACTCAACTTAAATCACATGCTCGGCCAACTTTATGTACCTTAGTTGATCATCCATTATTTAATATTGGTAAGTAAAATATCATAGTTAATTTATATGTATAAAAATACATAAATAGATACAAATAGAGTATATTGTGTAATTATTGTGGATGACTTGTTGTTTTTACCAGCTGTATTGTTTTTAGATGACATAAATATTATTTTACCATTCAATTTTATAATATTATATTATATTATTAGAAAATACAATTATGATCTATCTTAAAATTATTAAACTTTAATGAAAATGTAATTAGTTTTTACTGTATAACTTTATAATATATTTTAATACAACAATAAAAAATCATTATAATAATTAATAATGAAAAAATATTTAACGTTTGTAGTAATTCTCTTTAAATTTAATTTTCAAATAGATAATAATTTATACACAATCATAATTAAATTAAATTAAATTAAATTAAATTAAATATGTTATTATACAGTTCTATTGCAATATTGATTAAATTAATAATCAAACTGAAAACTCTTTGACAAAAATCCCCAACTATTCATTTTTGGGTAAACTGGATATCCTTAAAAAATGTTTATCTTTAAATAGTTTATACTGCTTATCTGAGCTGAAAACTATCAGTGCTTCTGTTTCACTTTAGTTCTTTATAATCCAAGTCTTCATTGTTTTTTCTGTGTTTCAATTTATGATATAATAGTAATTTTACATTAAATGATGTATTTCTTAAATTATAATCCATCAATAATATATCCTATACTCTGTTCAAGTTAAGAAACGTAGTAGGTGGAGACTTAATTTCGTTAGGTCTCAGTCAGGCAACACCTGATTATCACCCCCACTCAGTTAGTTATCTATATACCCGTGCATTCATAAGTGGATGTTTCTTTCTTATGATTTAAAAATTAACTCCATAACACTCCCACCCTGAAAGGATATTACCTACTCATAGATCACTAATTATAGACCTGTAGAATTTCTTAGTCACATTTCTAAAGTGTTTTGAATCACTTGTGCTGAACTCTATTCAACTATCTTTCAATAACCCCGTAGTCATCTATGAACAACAAGGATTTTTGTCTTGATCAAAAGCTAACCTCCAAATGCAACATGTAATATCACATTTTGTGGTAAAATATTTTGTATCTTAGCTGATGGTTAGAAAATTGATGCGATCTGTACATATTTTGCTAAAACGTTTGACTCTGTGAATCACTAAGATAGTTTTGCTTTAAAATATTTTTCCTAAGTTAAGTAACCAGCTGCTATCACAGACCTCAATAAGTTGAGCTTTCTAACGCAAAATCAGGTAAATTCATAGCTATCGTTGAGTTCCCTTCTGCTCAACCAACTTTCCTAATTAACAAATCTTTAACATTACCTTATGCAATTGGAAAATAATGTATAATTTTTCAATGTTTTTTCTTTCTGGTTTAAATATACATATTTTGCATTAAGTATAATTCATTTAAAATATAGTAAATAAATGAATGGTTAAAAACTAAAATTATGAACAAAATGACTGTATTTTAGTATACATTTAATAACAAAAAATATTTATATATATTATGAGTAATATTTCTCTTTATTTAATTATATTGTAGGTGATTCAAATTGAGAAGGAGAGTACACAATAAGTGTAGGTACATCCAAGCTATAGCAATAAAACGCCAACAAATTTGTATTGAGAATCGTTATAAAAAATCAGTCTTTAAAACTGATGGTCAGAAAAATACTTGATATCTAAAGACATATCCCAGTAAAAAGTGCTTAAGCCAAGTGCAACTAGAAAACCAAAGTGTGTGTTTTGAGTTCATAGAAATATACCTGGAGAAGGTGAGGTTTGTGAACAAGTCGTTCTTAAACATCCCTTTAATTTTAATTTTGAGATGCCTCTACCGAATGATAGTATAAAATCAAATGAATGTATTCAAAATGTAAAAGTGCGGAATAAAAGAAAAATAAACTCAAAAATTGATCCATTAGAGTATAAAGTCATTGCATCTTTGTCTTTATTATCCGACGAAGAAGAAGAAGATCAGAGAAAGGAATTCGCCACCAAAAGTCAAAATGAAAAATTAATTGTTAAGCCATTTGCTCTTCCATCAAATTCAACAGTTATACCCACACCAATTAAAATATCATTAATATCTGAAGACGAAGATGAAGAAGATAAAGAAATTAATATAGCCACCACCTCAAAATTAGGTGACAAATCTGATGAATCTAAAATATCTGGTACTGATTTTGATCTTATTACAAGACAATCAGAAATGAAGGGACTTAAGCCAACTTCAACAAATAGAAAAAATGATTTACATCATGATATAGAATCATACATATATGATAAACAAATAGAAATTATTGAACCAGTTACAGATGATATTCATGAATTAAATGAACCTGGATCAATTGATTTTGATGCTATTTCTTCTGTTACTGAAGACGAAATGAGTGGGTTTATTAGACATAATTCACCAATGTTATTGAACTTAGAAAACCCTGATGAATTACCAAGAGCCATTAGTTATACAGTACAAGGCGGAGTGATTGAACAAAATGGTACTGAAGACGAAATGAGTGGGTTTATTAGACATAATTCACCAATGTTATTGAACTTAGAAAACCCTGATGAATTACCAAGAGCCATTAGTTATACAGTACAAGGCGGAGTGATTGAACAAAATGGTACTGAAGACGAAATGAGTGGGTTTATTAGACATAATTCACCAATGTTATTGAACTTAGAAAACCCTGATGAATTACCAAGAGCCATTAGTTATACAGTACAAGGCGGAGTGATTGAACAAAATGGTACTGAAGACGAAATGAGTGGGTTTATTAGACATAATTCACCAATGTTATTGAACTTAGAAAACCCTGATGAATTACCAAGAGCCATTAGTTATACAGTACAAGGCGGAGTGATTGAACAAAATGGTACTGAAGACGAAATGAGTGGGTTTATTAGACATAATTCACCAATGTTATTGAACTTAGAAAACCCTGATGAATTACCAAGAGCCATTAGTTATACAGTACAAGGCGGAGTGATTGAACAAAATGGTACTGAAGACGAAATGAGTGGGTTTATTAGACATAATTCACCAATGTTATTGAACTTAGAAAACCCTGATGAATTACCAAGAGCCATTAGTTATACAGTACAAGGCGGAGTGATTGAACAAAATGGTACTGAAGACGAAATGAGTGGGTTTATTAGACATAATTCACCAATGTTATTGAACTTAGAAAACCCTGATGAATTACCAAGAGCCATTAGTTATACAGTACAAGGCGGAGTGATTGAACAAAATGGTACTGAAGACGAAATGAGTGGGTTTATTAGACATAATTCACCAATGTTATTGAACTTACAAAACCCTGATGAATTACCAAGAGCCATTAGTTATGCAGTACAAGGGGGAGTGATTGAACAAAGTGGTACCATAAAACTATTTGTATCCAACAACAATAACATGTATTCGTTGGAGAAAAATAGGAATATAGTTAATGAAAATTTAGAAATTATAGATGAAATTAATAATCCGATTCCTCATAATCAGTATGAAATCAGGTCTAATGAATTCCATAGTTTAATAAAAAGTGATGTTGCAGAAGATACCTTAGATATAAAAGAAATCGAGAAACATGCTCAGGATGAATGGCCCGAAGTTAATGTATCTAATTTAACGGATAAAGGTTTGAATTTATCCATGAAAACACCTGAATTATTACCTAACAACATTTCTGGCATACCAGAGTCAAATAAACTCAGCGGCAATGACAATATCGTTGATGAAGACGATGATGATCCTTTTAAATTGGTGATAGTTGACAATGATGAAATTGAAACTGATTATCAAATGGATGCTGATTTAGTAACTATTCGCGATGAACCTAAGTCTTCAAATGAACACATACCAGCACAATTCCAAAGTCTTCAAAACTATTCACGTAATAAAAACCATTCAAGTCAAAATGAACTTTATATGGATAATATTGACGACAATGCAAAATCACCAACAATTAATAATAGAGTAATCGTTAAATCGGCAGCCAAGCGTTCCATTAATAAACCTTCAAATAATGATAAGCCCAAACAATTTGACTACGAAGTTGCAAGTACCATAGTTAAGCATAAGAAGCGAAAAACTATGGTGCAACCAGAGCTTCAATGTAGTGAAGAAAAAAAAGTAAAAAATCCCTTACTGTTCTTTGCTGAGATTTGTATTAAACAGAAAAAAATAAAAGTTTAATCAATATAATGGTTGTTGTTATTTTATTTAAATATCCTCAGTAAAATCTAAAAATTTATCTTTATTAGTTATCTGTAAATACATTGAAAATAATAGGTACATTAACTATATTTGCACAACAATTTGAATAATTCATTAAGTGATATTTTAGATACCTTGATCATTCAGAACTTCTGATACAACAACAGATAAGTTAAAGTTATAATGAGTAATGCCAATTGCAATTGACAGTATTGAGTATCCGGGACTGTTAAATTTGAGGTTAAATATTTAAACATTACAGTCTGATCAGTGGTGGCGCCAGGAATTTTAACTTTGGGAGGTCCATTGGTGGCCTTTGAAAATTTGGTAGAGCCAAAAAAAGTCCAACCGTGGTCTTTTTCCCATTCATAGGCTCAATATAGGGTAGGTGGATTATACACTATTGTAAAGATTGTGTTGCATACACTAAGTTTTCACATAATTATTGGTTTTCATTTTAATTGATAGTAGGTATAGGTATAGGTATATTACTTAATATTTACACACTTTAATATTAGATATCATTTTCAACAAACTTACATTAAAAATGTGTACTCTATTATAAATTTAAAGAATTTTTTTTCTCTTGTGGTTAGACAGCCTAGTGGTGGCCAAGACAAATTTAGGGAGGCCTTGGCCCGCCCAGGCCCCCCTGGCGACGCCACTGAGTCTGATAATTAGTCTGAAGGGGCTTCAAATATTTAAGAAATGTATGATAACAGCATAACGCGTAAACAAATAAATAATATTGAATATATTGTAATTTAAAAATAGATTATTTCAATAATAATGTCTATTTTATTTTCCATTGGAATTCCATGAGAAATTCCAATAATCCAGCTTATTATTATATTGTATTACTTCTAACATCTTTGAAATAGTTATTATCACAAAATCGAACGGTGGTAAAATTAAAATAAAGTGCTTGGATAGTATAACTAAATAGGATTGTTAACGCCGTCGTTCACAATATTGTATTATTAGTTATTATATTTCTAAAATACTGTAATATTAAAATAAAGCAACCAAATTTGAATAATAATATATGCAAATAAATGATTTTGTTGGGACATTAAAATAAAATATTATATCATTAAAAATATTGTTCTCTTAACTAAAATTTATCCAACTATTAACCAAAATTTAATTATTGTTTTCTGTGTTGGAATCTTAAATTTTTTAATGAATCTTTTCAGCCGTCGAACAAAAGAACAAGAGCTTGATAAAGAATTAGAAAAAGGTAATTAGTTTTCAAAGTTAATCTTTTTAATTAAATTTAAATCTTTAACAGTTGTTTACGAAATATTAGTTCACTTTAAACTAAAGTAAATGTTATTAAAATATGTACATAGAGATGCACTAATGTATATTATGTATTTATATTTACATGATTATAGCTATAGGCACATAAAAAAGGTGTACAAGTTGTCTCATAAATAATTAATGTTACTTTCCGGTTATCTTATTTTTTTGTTAAAGGTAAGACAAAATTTTGAGGAATCTTATATCGAAATTTCTTTTGTTAGAAATCAATAGAAAAATGTATGAATTTTTTAATTGGAACATTTTGGAGATTTTGATAAATTTTGTCAAAATTTAAACTTTAAATGCATATTAAACAAAATGATAGTGCATAATATGTATTTCTTATATCTTTAACTTCCATTAAAGATACTTATGAGGAACCTTGAATTTAATGTTCAAGCGTTTACATATTATAACTATTATTTAGGTTAAAAACATTGAATGCATTTATGGACGGGTTATCTTTCAATATTAATTTTGGGCCGTTTATCGGCCGACATACTCTGGCCAACAACGAGTATTACCAAACCCCTCTATATAGCCAAGAATTAAAACTAATGTTGGCTTCAGGTTCATAGTTACAAGCCCTTAGTTTCATTTTTTGACTGATGTATTATAAATATTGTTTTACTTTATTTTTCCTTTTATTAAAGCAACTTCTGTGCTTCTTTTTATGTTCACCTGACATTTTTAATTTGAACATTACTTTTATTTAAAAAAATTTGTGCATAACTATTTATAAAAGTAAATTTTAGTATACGATATAACTTTAAAAATGCAAATGATAATGATTCAATACTAGTAGTCAGTAGGGTAGGAACTAGAACCGTTTTACTCTAATACCAGTTTCGACAGAAGCCTCCTTACACTTGGAATTAATATATAATGCTCAGAAATATAGCAAGTGGTCTGCAAAATAATCGCAGTTTTAATTTTTTTTTTTAGAACAAGCCTTCCAATCTATATAATGATAAATGAATATTGTGTTTTGCTTCCTCGTAGTTCTCTCTCAGTAAAATATTTCTGTTTGTATTTGTTGTCATCGCAAAAGTTTTTAAAAATTCATATTAAATTATATATTGTGATAAACTTACAGTTATAATACAAATTTCAATTTAATTGTCAGTTAAAAATCTTTCATGGTTCCAGTGCAGCAACTACCAGTTGTTCAGTGTGTGTATTGGCGTATTGCATATCAGCCTCAAACCGATAGCCACCTGGCCACAACTCTATCACCAACAATCGGTGCAGTGTACCAATTAATTGTGTACCCTTGACTGTAGTCTTTTTCATTTAAGTAAATGAATAAAAAAAAATGTTCTACAAGCTTGATCATCCTATTAAAATTTGATACTATAACATTACCTATATATTATAATCATACAACATATTAGCTGATCCCTTGCACTTCGTTGCCCGTTAAAAATGTCAACTCCATAATATGAGACTCGCTTATCGTGATTATGCGAGCAGTATATTATCATTTATCATGTAAGAAATATAGATCTGCTGTGGATTGCGGACCCCGTTAGGTGCATACTCTACATGAATAATATTTTTTATTTTGATTGTGTACACGTCGATGAGCGGCTATATGCACAACTCAGCCACCATGGTAGGCAATCTGCGAAAATTTAATTTGATACATAATTAACTGATCTGCCCGATTAACGAATGACAAAAAAAAATGAATAAAAAAATACCTACTAATTTCTACTAAAAAGTTAAGAAACTTGGGGAAAATGAGTTATTAATTGGATTATTATTCCGAGTGCTTTCCGTTTTTAATTTGTACCTTTTTCATAGCCGGAGTGCGTCAGTACTCTTATAGACAAGTTATAATGTAGTCCGAACTCCGAAGATCAAATGTACATTATAATTACTTTATACTTTATGATGTTTACAATGATGTAAACTGCAACCTAACCTATTTCTTTCCTTCAAATTATCTGTTTGTAAATAAATATTAAATATACCAACTGAAGTTTGAAAAAAGTTTTTACGTAAAGCCACATAGGTCCCTACAATTGATGAGTGTTTGAAGTTTAGATTTGGACGAAGGCATTGAATATTCACTTGAGTATATCTCATAATAATTTTTGTTATTTTGATATAATAAAAAAAAATTAATCTTAGAAACTTAAAACATATGACATTTTCGAAGTATCTAAACTAATTTTAAACTATTTCAAAAAACAACTTTTAATTTTTAATATTTTTATGGTGGATGATAACAATTGTTTTACGATAAATTGATTTACTTACAATTGTATACATTTTACATACACATAAACAAAGTGAATCATAAGTTGTAACTTTAATAGAAATCTAAAAATATCAAAAATTCAAAAGCACAATTTTTTATAACCACCTGAAGTTAAAATATTGAAAATATCATAAATATTTGTAAATTTTACAATTATTAGTGTTGTTTGTACTTTCCCCAAGTTTATTCTGCATAATTATTTAAAATATTTCTTATTTTTAGTTACAATTGTTTTCCATGTTTTTTGGTCATTTTTACAATATTATACACATTTAAAAATTTTTAAATTGAGTATACACAACTAAAATCATATTATATTTAGAATTAATGAATTAGATAATATGTTGGCGTTAATTTCAAACTTTTACGAAGAAAAGTATCATTGGCTTAATATTTGAAACAAAAACGTATTTTAAAAGTATTTGGAATATTTTTAATGTATTTAAAATACTTTATTCTTAATACTATTTTTATTAAGCATTCGAATATACATATTTCAAACATTATTTTTCATGATTATTCGAATATTTATTTTAAATACCTTTTAAAAAATTTTTACCCAAGTCTGAGTTACTAAGCAAATTAAATAAATTCATCTATTATCTGACAATATAAATTATTGCGCCTCATAAGTTAATGAAGTTCGCCACGTCACTGCAGTGTACAAATGATTTTTATATTAATTATTTTCATTTGTTTTTGGTAATAATCACTTATAATAATATTGATATGTTATAATAAAAATCAAATTTTTGTTGATTTATTTGATCTACTTATTATTTATTTAGCCGATAGAAATTTTCTTAAAATTGAGATTAAAAAATTTAATTTAATTATTATTTATTTCATAATAATATAATAATAATGTGATGCCTTATGTTTAAAAATGTTAGTTACATTACTATGGATAAAAACAGTTAAACGAATTATTTATACATGCATAATATGGTACTCCGATTATATGAAAATTCCTAGTTCTGACATTTTATTGATTTTCTTATAAGGCGTATCTTGAACAATTGTCAATTAAGAAGAAAATGTACCTAACATAATTTTCTTCAAGGTAAACAGTTTGGCAAGTCAGCATTTCAAACAAATATAATTCATATATACATGAAGATATTGTTATAATGATTTTAGGGTGTTAAGAAGTTATTAACACTCGAAGCATTCAAATCGCAACCTACGTATAACCTAGTGTAGTGTGTGGTGGCCATAATAGTGCATACAAGACTGTAGGCTCCGGAATAGTCATGGTAAGATTTTTCACACATGGTTACTCATAAGTTCAAGGTTGACATTTCAATGCTGAGTTCCGGACTTACATATATTGTCTGGTAGAGTACTCCCGCAATTATAATAACATATTTCTTAGCAATTTTTTGGTAAGCCAAATAGCTTGGAAGTTTAATACAAGGTTCCTCACAACTCACAAGTCGCAAGTTAATAATACTGGTATAAAAAAAAGTTGAGTAAATCTACAAGAAATTTAGCTTGTTAGAACTGCTTAGAAGTTAAAATTTTGACGAAATCGGATATATTATCACCAGTAAAATAACGTTTTTATTGTTGTTGTAATTTAAAAGATGTATTTTATACCGAGTAGAATTTCGAAATATTTCACTGTAACTTAAATCATAATTTTCTAAACTCAATACATTTTTAAAAATATTTAGACTAAGTTTAAGACATTCATAGGAATTTGTACTGATAAGACATTTTAGTGTCAGTAAAAAACTTGAACAATTTATTGTTTGATATCACATGTCCACATTTTAGTTGTTCAAATAGCAATTTAAGAATATTCAAAATACATAGGAACGATTATTTTCATGAGTATTTTAAGTTAAAATGTTGAAAAATCACAAATATTTTGTAGTTAAAAATGTATAGAATTTTAATTTTTACAGCTACGACTTACAATTTTAGAATAATGTTCCTCAAGAGTATAATATTTACTGCAACCAGAATATCTAAAACTGAATAATCACAATAATAATTATTCTATAGACATTTAAAGTTTAAATTTTAACAAAATAGTATATTCAAACGAAGGACATAACAATCAAACGAAAATTATTTTGTTGTTATTTATAAATATTATACTTGAATACTTGAATATTTAATGTATGTTATCTATTATTACTTAGTTATTAATTGACTATGCTATAATAAAATACACAATATATTTTCCATGCATTCAAACTAATTTTGAGTTATTCTCCCTGTTTTACGTTATTTTTTTTTTTTTTTTATTTTTTTTTAACAGTTAATTTATTACACTATACATATATAATATAAATATTTAGGTACATCTCTACTGTTATAATAATAATAGTTTATTAATGAGATTCAAATGGGAAAAATTAATTCAACCTACCAAAAAATAAATGTCTTTAATTGTTATATAAATATGTAGTAATATTGGTTGACCGACTGTCTCCGCTTATAATTGTTTTTCGTATGCAACAATTTATTGTTTAACTCAATTTTAACATATCCTTTTAAGATCACAAAAGTTAGGTACCTACTAAATGATGAGCTACATTCAACATTTCAACACATACTAAATTTTACAGATGCATTAATTATATTTTAGAGTTATTTTATTTAAACTGTATATTATAGAAAACACGGTCGAGCATGTTGATGTTGGTGTTTAGCAGTACACTAGTATATACTAAATTATAGAATTCTTCAGTTTTAATTTGAATATTATATGTAGTTATTACTTACTTTTAATGATATTTTTATGTCTTAAGTATTTATAAATTTTGTACTTATTATTATTATTTTTTATTGTATTTTCAGTTATCTAAATTGTTGTGGATAACAATAATTACTCACGTATCATTGTGGAACTTTATATTTTCCCTATCTGAGAGTGTTGAATTGAATGAAGATAGTAAATTATTACGCAGTCGAGTACGGTACTCAACACGTATTTGTGATTGTTTGAAAAATGCACCACCAGCTGTTGATCATAATAACTACAAATCTTTACCTGATTCAGAAGGAGTTGTTAACTTTGAAAATCCGGGCTTAGCTAAGGATTTGAGTAAACAGTCATCATGTCACGTAAAAAGGCATGCTATTTTACGAAGCTATAACCGTCCTACACACGAAAATAACAAACCTTATAAACCAGATCTAATAACGAGCGAGTGGCAAATGAAGTCGGCACTTGTAAACAATGCAAATGGTGATTCGATGGTTCAAAAATCAAAAGTTGTACGTCTAAACAAAAATGTCATTAATTCACAGAATATGGTTTATCATGAACCGCTACATCATACTGCAGTACCACTTTTACAAAAAGGAAATCTTATTGCCAAAAATTCAAAACCCTCACTACTTCAATTAAGCTTACAAGATACGACGACCCAAATCAAATCATTAATTGCTGCACCAAAACATAAGCTAGTCGAAATAATATCAGATAAATTAGTCGATGGAAGTCTAGACAACAAACTAACTCAGCCGTCATTGACCCTTCCATTACCTTACAAATCTATTAAGCATTCCGTCATTAATCCATTAGTACGGCCAACTGAAAAACACAATAATGTTGATACAGCAGGATTAATAACTGAAAATAGCGACAAACAGAGTAATTCGTTAAAGCTGTCTACACTTTCACCTCATATATCGAATAAAGAGAAAGGTTTGATAACTGAAGACAAACCATTTTCTCCCCTTCTATCAATTAATTTAAACAAGCCGAAACTTGTAAGCGTATTGTATGACCGAAAAATACTACCTGTTGCTAATCGGCCTACACCGTCTCAGTTAATACAAACTCCGGCCATCAAACCGATACATATGCCAATTTTTGAGCAAAAAGAAGTATCGATATCTTCAACAAACGAAAGACCACATGTCAATATTGGTTCATCATCACAATATCCTAAAATAATCAAGAATGTCAATGCCGAATCAACGTCTCCACCAATCCTAACTGAAAAAGCGGTTTCAATACCTTTGTCATCTAAGAAACAACTGAAATCGATT